CGTTGGCGTCAGCGTGACGCCAGCGCTGACGTCAGCCAACTCGGGCTTCAGCCCGGGCAAGACTTGCCCTTGGGCTTCCTCGGGCTCGTGGGACCCGCCACCAAACTGGGCTACGGGCCCTGCGCTGGAGTGAACTCGGGCTGCGTCGGGCAGCCTTTCCCCCCTAGCCCGACCTGCGCTGGAGATGCTCTAAGGGCAATATGGGTGGAGTTGCTCTTAAAGAATAGCAAAATATATGAGCTGTAAATCTGTTTTGGAAGGTTAGATAGATTTAGCTATTCAAACATCCAACCAGTCATTCGAATCTTACTTGTTTTAGATAATATAATGCGGAGTTTCCTGACAAGATATTTAAGTAGAAACCAAATTGGTGAATTATTGTTGGACGGCAACGTGGTTAAGCCAATCCCCCCCTTAGGCTGGCTGGGTGGCTGGGTGGCTGGCCCAGCTTAGCACCCCCTCCCATGTGCATTTTTCGTACATACCAATTAGGACATGCATAGAACACCAAACCCTATCGCTCTTATTGCTATTGTTATTGCTAGTGGCGCTCACATCACCTAGGAAATGAAAGTGCCTGTTTTATTCTTAGCTTTGTTTAGCTCAACCATTCAAACTTCAATTTATCACTCTAACTTAAACTCACAATCTTGATTAACTAATCTAACTCACGTATGCAACCGCAACAATCCATGATAATGAAAGGTTTTATTAAAGACTCATTTTGACTTGGGTTGGTATTTGATTTTGGGCCCAAGAAAAACAAAACACAAAAGCATAGCACAAAGGGGGAAATGGATGCATCGATGAGCTAAATTGGCATTGATGAACGAATGATGATGAGGGAGGAAGGAAGGGTGAATTAGATTCCACATCCAAAAAGCTAGCAGACAAAATAACCCGCCTTACGAATCAAAAACCAATCCTACCCAATGGCTTGGCTACCCATCTTCGCCGCATAATACGTGGCGTTTCTCGCATTGGTTTCTCTGCCTCTGCCTCTCTGCCTCTCCTTATAGACACCCAAAAATACCAGAATACGAGACAACATTTACATTTGTTTTGCCAACTTTTAGGTCCATATGCAAACAACATGCACTATAAAATCGAAGAATTTCAATTAATATCATCAAATCAAGTCAAATTTTTTTACCCATAAGTGTGTTTACTACGCATAGTTTACTCGAACAATAGAACAGGGGGGCTATGCCCATTGCCATGTCTATTTACACCTCTGTTTTTCTCTGTGCACCACCACTCGATGGCAAACTTTGTGACCTTTGTCTGCATGCACTTCTCGCACAACCAGACAAAATCCCTTTTGCAAGAAAATCACAAAGCCGAATATCACAAACTTTCTGTATGACGCTACTTTACAAAGGCTAGAGTCCATCCAGCATTCAACCCGCAGGTACCTTTTTAACAGTTTAATGATGATATCTCTGTTTTATGTATATTTGGATGAATCCCACGTTTTACAAATCCCACTCATGCATCACAGATTCACAGATTAAACAACAACACACTAATCTCCACAAATATATATATATATATATATATGTCTCGTTTCAAATTGAAAACACTTTCTGAAAAAGCTACAAAGTTGAAAAGCACTTGCTGGGTTTTTTTGGTTTAATTTAATTATGCCCTGTTTCATTGTTAAAGACTAATGGAAGAGTCAACGGCTCATGGCCTTAAAAGCGTAGCCAGGTCCAGCAATTATTCAGACAATTTGACTATCAATGTTACACGAGAGAAGAAAGGCATCGAATCAAATATTATATAATGGGGACGGTGTAAAATTTAAGATTTATTGGTTAAACTCGCTTTAAGCTTTCTGAAAGAGGAGAGGACAGTCATGGAAGATTCAAATTTTTTTTTACCAGTTAAAGAAATGGGACAGGAACGAAATCCTATAGATATAATCAGAGGAAAACTTACCACATAGGCCAGAGACAGAGACTATAATTTATGATATATCATCAAAAAGGGCAAACAAACCATAGACTGATTGCTTACTGCATCATTCAATAATGGCAGAATAATACTGAGATTAAGAAAGCTTTCACCAAAACAGGAGCATTCACTTTTGTTCATTCACGCAAGGAAGATGCCACACTAGTAGCAAACATTCCTTGCAGAAGTTCAGAAAAAATGAAAAAAAAGGTGTTTGTTTTGTTGCAGTGGGAAAGCAAGAATCTCTGTGTGTAAATTTGCAAATTTTCTGCCACACTCTTCCTCATATGATATTCGATCTTCTGATCCCAAAAGCAAAAGCTAAAAAACGAAAGAGAGGATCTTGAAAAGTTGTAGATACGGAGATTCTAGCTATATAGCAGGTAGTACAAAATATAAGCTGGTCACTGCAAAACCAAATTTCTCAACTTCTCTCTGTACACTGCACATCATGATTCATCATCATTGTCCATTTCTGGATCCTCCATAAATCTAAAGAGATTAATTAAACTAGGATTAATTATAGGATAACAACCAAAATACCCCCGGTTTTCCCACTTCATGAATTACAGAAGCAAGAAAAAGGCAATCAAAATTCCACAGACGTAATGAGAAAAACGTGGGTATTTTGGTTATAATTTAACAAAATTTCCCAAGAAAAGAAGAGAGAAAATGAATAATTTTACTAGTTGTGGAGTTGATCTGGGCAACTGGGCACTCTTCGTTTGCTGTCTTCATACCCTTGCTCTGTTTTGTTGAAGTTAGAAGCTCTGACACTGCCACCGAAGTACTTATGGAACAGGGCCTCTCTGCTTCTGTTGCTCTTGCTCTGCATCGTGTTGCTGCTCTCTGCCTCCATCTTTGATAACACATTTGTGTGTCCTGGGAAAACCCGTATTGCGCCTGCTTTGCAGTCGCAGCAGACCCAAATCTGTAAAACAGAAATTACCAAAATCACCACCAGAGAAGAATGCAAAAGCCTCCAGCCGCCGGCGATAGACATAACCGGAATACCCAGCTACATAAATTAAGCTCTGCCTCTGCCCCTGCCTCTTTCTTCAAATCACCAACCCACTATCTTTTCTAAAGAGAATTTGATGAGCTGTTCGTGTTGACTGTTGACAATATCAAGTTCTGAGTTTTATCTCTCTCTCTCTCTCTCTCTCTCTCTCTATCTGCCTGTCTCTCGAGGCTATGACTTATGAGCAACGGATTGACGGCTATTCTATGTATAAGAGAGAGGAAGAAAGAGAGAGAGAGTCAGAGAGAGAGAGAGAGTCAGAGAGAGAGAGATGGAGCCTCATATGCCCCCACACTGGTCCACGTGAAGAGAAAATAGCAGCAGTCTATGTCTAATGCTCTCTGTATTTTAATCTAATTATAGTATACTCTGTTTTTTTATTGATTTAAAAAAAAAAACAAATGGGGGTTTGAATAAACAAATGTGTAAACGAAAGTAACAAGCAAATTTTGTAGGTGAATCATATACGTATATGATTAGCAATGCATTACGTTAGAAATCTGCATGACGGTGACGCTGTAAGAGTCAAAATTACAAAACGAAAAGATAAAAATAAAACAAAAAGGGCACACGCGCCGAGCCAAAGGGACCGCACTGTGACTGAAGCATGCTATGCTAGAGACTTTGAGAGCGATTAACGGTGAATTACACTCTCCTATCAATATTATACATATATATATATTTAGTTACTTACTGTAAATAAATATATAAGTATTTTAGGTATAGGGTTGGAATTTGAATAAAGAAAGAAATAGTATTTATGATGAGAATGAGTCATCCTGAGAGAGAAACATGGGACTGCCGAGGAGGAGAAGAAGGGCCGGGAATCCCGCCACGGTGTTGGACTGGAGACATTTGTGTTTGAGAGTCGTACGTTAACTAGGAAAGGAAACGTGTATCAATGGCTCCCGTACATCTTAATTAACCTCTCTTAATGAATTATGTATAATTAATTAGTTGTCAAATTTGATGCAATCTTGTGAGCTCCTTGAATGAAGACCCAATTCTCCTCCCTCCCCCCTTTCAAATATTGTGGCATCTGATGATATTCATACATATTGGATGATGTTGTAGATTTTATTCTGGCATGGCATGGCATGGCAATGGCAATGGCATCTATGATGTAGTTGTCACTAGCTGTGATGTTTTTTTTGGTGGGTGACCTGAGTATTTTTTTTGCAAATAAGGGGGACAATTAAAGTTAAGTCAACTGGGTTGTTTCATGTCTTGGTGTGTATTAGGTGAGCTTAATGGGCATGGAGGGGACACAGCTTATGGTTTAGCTCCAAATCTGATTGACAAAACCCCAAAAGAATATGTTAAATTCAGCTAACAATGGAACAAATAGACTCAAACCCACTCAAAGCACAGGCCACCTTATCTAAATAAATCATGGCACTCTGATGTTTGACATGTGTTCATGATTATATATGTATAGCAACTCATCATTTCACGTGGTAGTGATGAAGAATGCAAGACCAAAATCAATGGGGTCCTTTCGAAAAATTAAAAAAAAAACAAAACAAGGAATTGGTTAAACAAAAATACAAGTTTCATACTGTTTAAGAAAATTGGTGAAGGACCCATGAAGACACACAGATTGCCTAACCACCAAGTCCAAGTTGCACGTTAGGACATGCATGACTGACCCAATTATTAAACCAAACTTAATCAAACACTTCTCTCTTATCTATAATGCACTCGAAAAACTGATATCCTTGGGGTTAATAAGGGTGGTAAGAAATATTTTCTTACCCAGAAAGGGAAAAACGTCAAAAAAAGAGAGAGTCCAAATCAGTGTTCTTTGCTGAATTTATAGAAAAGGCACGACTGGTCAGGAATTGTCACGTCCATGTTAAACTTCTGACGGAACTTGAGAAAGTAACATTTAACTTTTGAATGGTACTTGGTACTGTAAATTCGAATTATTAATCCTGGACAGATAAAATTTGCAGGCCGTATTTGTAAATTTTGTCAAACAAAGTAACTCGCCAACAAATTTATGTATGTTTGTTGAAGAAGAGGAGCGTGAGGTACAATGTTTTGACCATGGGAAGGGAAGGAAAGTCACACGAGACTAGCTAGTGAATCAAATCAGAGTTTGAATAATCTAGGGTGGTCTTTGCTTGCTCCTCTCTCTCCTCCTAGAAAGAAATAGGTTAACAAAAGTGGGTTTTGTTTTGTGGCTGAAAGCAGATAAAAAAGAACCAAAACCCAGCCTATCTGAAATCTGACCCCCCCACCCCCTGCAGCCAATAAAGTTGACAACTTTTAGCTTCTGCTTGGACTTTGTCCTCCTCTTGTCTTGCCCACCCTTTACTCTTCCATTTTGCCATTTTCTACTCCTACCACCCTTTAATTCTCTTACCCGTCTTTTATTACATTTGCCATTTTCTTCTTGGCCTTAGTCACCTACTAGCTAGCACTACTATTTAATTCCCCTATTTTCTTCTCTCTCTCTCTCTCTCTCTCTCTCTCTAACATTGAATGCCACCTGAGGCCCTTTTTCGTATTTGATCATAGAGCAGTTAATTATTCATAGCAACTCCCCCAGATATTTTATACATCAATCGAACACTGTAAATTTCGATTGAAGGTACAACTCCAACAACATATGAATATTAGAATCTAATGACATGCACAGAATTGTCTTAAAATGATAGTTATAACCAACTCGGTATTATCTAGTAGTGACTGAATGGTGTGTAGTTAGGCAGGCTAGCATGTATTTTGCGGACCAGTTTCTGGTCAGGAATTAGTCGGGCTGAGTTTCAGGGATTTTGGGTCACCAGAGGTTCATGAAAGCCATGGCCCTCGTCGTAGTGATGATGAGCTCAGATTTGCACGTCCATTTCTCAAATGGTCAATCCATCCATGCATCTATACCATACACAATATTATATCCCCTTCCATTCTCATTACAATCTTTTTAGTAAAATAGTTTGATCTACAAATTAAAAACAAAGTAAAATAGCCAAGATAAAGTTGAATTTCAAAGTGAGTTGTCAACCACCAAAACTTCTAATTCTGCATCTTGCCTTTGCAAGCAGCATTCATACAGGTACTTATATATCTCTTTAGACAAAACCAATGTAATGATACACTTTAAGTATGCTATCACATAGGCATCCCATACATAACACCAAGATGCAAAAACCTGGAACCTATCTGGTCTCATTAGTGGATCCTATGCATACCCAGCCATCCCAACAGTTGAGCTCGAACGATTTGCTTTATGAGCTGCCTGAGTTGTAGTTGCCTTGGTGAAGTACATGTAGTAATAAACGTTGAGAATCATAGTCACAACCACAAATACCGCTCCAGAAATGAAAACACCTTTTCGTAAAGCTTCACAGGAGAAGTTCTGAGCATATATCATTCCCCGGTACTTAGTGTGATAGGCATTTTTTGTAGCACCAGCAATTAGACAAGCTTCCGCCACCAGAAAAGTTGTCCTGCAGATACATAAAATGCAGCAAATTTTAAAGATGAACTTGCCAGTTAGCTGAATAATATCTTCAATCAAAGCGGAGGCCCTGTATCATATTCTATGATTACATGTGATAAGTCATCTACACCTGGTGCAGCAGCATACCAGGATTTGCAACAGGTTGACAATAGGGAAAAGGTTAGCAACTTTTTCTAAGAAAAGAAAAGAAAACAAAACAAAAGGCCACAAATGTAGATACCAAAAATACAATTTGTAAATCTATCATAAAGCTCAGAGCAAAATATGATGCGTAATCAATTGGATCTTAGCAGAATATGGGCAAGTTAACACAATCAAGGGGTTGATGTTAAAATGTTGCCCTGTTTAAGATGGGGATCCTCAAGGCACATTGGATGCTCACCATGATGAAACAAAATATATAATAGACCAAGCTCGATTCCCACCAGGGGCCAAGGGTCTCCCAAAACACATGCACTTTGTGATACCCATGAGGAGTGATTCGCCTGAGAGAAGAAACAAGAAACCACCTACTCCATAACCAGTCGCAACATCTGAATTATACACACAGTAAGTTTCATTCGTTCGATCATCTTTCTCTATTCGGCCCTGCCAGGAAATAAAGTTTCTTTATAAATTAATGGTACAAAAATTGATCATATGCACCAAAATTCAACCCAAGAATCCAAAATGTCAATAAGTGACTAAGAGAGTAAGCAAACATTAAATGAATGAAATTGAAGTACCATGCTACTGATAAAGCATATCTGCATATATATATATTTTAGTAACGAAGCGGAGCTAAACCATCTCTATTTCCATTTTAGTAACGAGCATTCCACTACTTTTTTTCTCCTTAAGTTATTGCGAAACAAAATAAGAGACCTATCACTAGAACCTGGTCTCTTCCAATAAAATTTGAATGGTTTGATCAATCATAGACGAAAACTGATTAATTAAGTGGTACCAAGCATATTGTAGTCCCATTCCCCATGTGGTTTTACCATTGCAAGGCTTCTGAAATTGCTAGACGATGAAGATAAATCATACTTAATGAATGAACCCTTATGCAATCGGCATGTATCCCTACTTAAACAAGAATCAAGCCTCAAAATACTAAAGGCAGCAAACTTTTAAACTCAGTTCTTTGATATGAACTTCTCTATTTCGAAAATTTTGCTTCCCAGAGAGAGACCACTATTTTAATGTTTAAAAAGTCATCCCTGAAACACAATTATACAGTCTCAAAAAAACTAATCCAACTGACACATGAATTGGCTCTTCTTATATGCCTATATGAAAATGCATAATTCTTCATAAACAACTTTGTCCCCTTTTGACCCAAAAAAAAAAAAAAAAAAATGCTTTGTCCCCTTAAAATAAAGAAATGCAGTGAGTGTTAGAAAAGGAGAAAAATATTCCAATGACCAAGAATTCAAAGGAACATAACTGTGCAGAAAAGAGAATGTTCTAACAGTATAAGAAGTATTCTAACAAGGAGTGACGGAAATCTCCTGTGGACAACCCCTGCCTCTCGTTTATGTCCAATTCAAAGGGAGATGATAGATCACTTAATGGTTTAAATTTGTGACGTATAGAGATTAAGCAACCATATACAGAGCTAATGAGGGCCATGAATCAAAATTAATTAAGACTGATGAAGCAAGTTCTAGAGCTACATACTCATTTATGGCCAGAAACTTTACACTATTTCAAATATGGATATGTGACAAGAATGAGCTATGAACCTTTTTAGTAAAAGTCTGACAAGATCTTAGATTGGCAATGACAACAATTTAATCTTGAAATGGACAAGAACCGAACAACAGGCATTACAAAGCAACATTCT